CACACACACACACACACACACGGCAGGCACATCTGTCCAGCCATGGATACGTGAGCACACACACACACGGCAGGCACATCTCTCCAGCTGTGGATACGCGCGCGCACACATACACACACGACAGGCACATCTCTCCAGCTGTGGATACGCACATGCACACATACACACATGGCAGGCACATCTGTCCAGCTGTGGATGTGCACATGCACACACGGCAGGCACATCTGTCCAGCCGTGGATACGCGCACACACATGCACACACGCACACACACGGCAGGCACATCTGTCCAGCCGTGGACACACACACACACACGGCAGGCACATCTGTCCAGCTGTGGATACGCACACATACACACGGCAGGCACATCTGCCCAGCTGTGGATACGCACACACACGGCAGGCACATCTGTCCAGCTGTGGATACGCACACACACGGCAGGCACATCTGTCCAGCTGTGGATATGCACACACACATGGCAGGCACATCTGTCCAGCTGTGGATACGCACACACACATACACACATGGCAGGCAGAGACTGCATTGATCAAGGAATAACTTGATCACCCCTCCTGGATCAACAGAGTCACCCTCAAAGAGCAAACGTGGCCTGAGTTTTAAACATTTTTGAATTTTCTATATTGAGAAATTTCTCCAGACTATGGAGGAACCAGAACCCAGCACCAGGCTCCCTAAATAGCAGTGATGTGCTGGATGTTGTTTATGCTGTGATTTGAGCTTCCTCTCCAGATCCTCCAAAGTAATTCTTCCTCCTTTAGAGTTTCTTTTATAACTGCCAATGAAGACAGACTCGGTTTGCTCAGCCCCAGCAGACAAGACTGACATGAGGTTTCGAGCCGGCATTTGCAAACCTGCGTGAGCATATAATTGCAGCACTCTCTCCCTGTCTGGAGGGTTCACTTTCAGCAGGCTGTCAAACTCGAATCCCAGTTACTTTATCAGATGCCTGGAGCACGGAGTCATTAAACTTCTCATTGCTAAATCTTTGTTTTCCTTCAAATGTCTTACTATACTCAGGGATTGGTAAGACTTCCTAGGTTGTGAAAGAAAGACTTAAGCTAATTTTCGAAACACATAAATGAAAATATAGTTCGAACTCTTGCTCCAATATACAAATAATTTCAATTAGTTGAGCTTTTCATGTCCTCCCTGTATTTGCTGGGGAGGGGTCCTCAGCGGCGCTGGTAAGGGGACGCAGATACAAATACCAGACAATTATTGCTCTTTCAGTTAAAGCACTTCTTAAATTATTACTGGGCTTCGGAAAAGTCAGAATTCAACTGTCTTGGTAATCAATTTAAAAAAGTCTTACCTTCTCGCCGATCATTTCTGAGGACCCGCACTTTCTCAATTTTCCCCAAAAGGGCCCCGTCCTCAGCTAGGAAAAGAAAAGAAGCAGAGGGTTTTGAACCTGGAGTGTACAAAGAGTTCTGCACTCACGCACAATTCTCAGCCACTGAGGGTAGAGTATCTCCTTGGGGAATCACTGAGGCCCCTCTACTCTCTGAGGATCTGACTCCACCAGCTTGTGTCTCATTAGCACCCTCACTGCAGAGAGGCTGGGCCCAGGAGAAGGGCCGCCATGAAACTAGATCCATCTCAGTACTCAGGTACTCACGGTCGTTGCTGTAGTCGTCCACCAGGATGATCTCTTTTATGAGATGGGGTGGGCTTTTCTTAAGTACGCTGAGGAAAAATAAAAGATATAAGTTGTGGTCCTTTTAGGGGTATCACTTGGGGTGGGAGATTCTCATATTATGGCCTAATTCTTGGTTGAAGGATCTATCTGCCACTTCCAGTGCAGAGCAGGGAGGTGACCCTGCCTGCAGCCCCCACGGGCAGCCCCGGCTTGCCAGTGACTGGAACACAGCTCATGCCTAGTGTCCCTGACAGGTAATGCCTCCCATAAAATGCAACAGGTGTGTAGGGTGGTATCTCCTGGGCTCACCTGACCACTGTCCTCAGCAAGGCCGACCTGGCTTCATTGTGAAATGTGATCACCACGCTGGTGGCCGGTAGATCTACCCTCCACTGTTTCCGCTGACACCTGAAGGAAGAGAAAGGTCACCTCTGAGTGATGACCCCAGACCAGCCAGGGCTCGCGTAGTCCTAGAGAGAATGAATAGTGACCAGCCAGGGCTCGCGCGGTCCCAGAGAGACTGAGTAGTGACCAGCCA